CTGTGATTTCTTCTTGGCAGCCATCATGTCTGGTATCGACTTGCGCCGCCTTCTCTCAAGAAACTAGAGGCGCCTGGTGAAGAGGTCGCACCCCGACCGGACTCCCACCTCGGGGGTACTGAGTTTGGGTCTGCTGAGACGACTTTATCCTCCCCTTCGCCTGAGATCCCACCACCTCCTCCCGAGGTAACTAGTAGGGCTGGTCTCGAAGGGGACGAGCACCCTCAGCAGGGGACGACTCCCTGTAACCTCCTCCAGCCATTCCCTTACCCTCTGTTCCCCGTGGGGAACTGGGAAGGGGTGAACGACTACCTTGTGGCTCGCCGGAGGAGCCGAAAGGCGATTAACAATGACGAGGTCTCTCACTGGGGAAATATGGAGCTCGGGGACCTTGCCGCGTTCGCCTCCTCCCACTGCATGGTGGTAAGTGATTCTTTCCTTTCTTCTTCTCATTTTGCTTCCTTTCACTGTCCTCTGATCTTTTCTGCTGGCAGGTGAATACCGCCATCCATGCCATGGCTCTCCAAACGTGCATCCACCCTGTCGACGCCGTCGACCAGCGGGCTACTAATAAGAAGCTCCAGGGCGAGCTCGACCAGATTTGGGGCGAGCTCCATCACACTCGCAAGGGGAGCGAATCTCAGGAGCTGCTCGTCCACGACCAGAAGGCCCAAATTGCCCGGCTTTCTGAAGAGAGCACGCATTACTGGGAGGAGTCGTCGAGGGTGGCGGCGGAGAGGGAGCTTCTTCGGCAGCAGGTACGAGACTTGGAGTCCACTCTTCTAGATTGGACTCAAAACTTTGACCAGATGGTGGAGGTTGAACGAGAGAAGGCGGTCTGGGACTTCAAAGACTCCCAGGAATACCACGACCTCCAGGTGGAATATAGCTCGAGTTCGTACCGCTCCGGGTTTAAGCTCTGCCGGTGGTTGGTTCGGAAGAAGTTCTCCGGGCTCAACCTCAACGGCATCACTATGAAGGGCCTGTCTCCTGAGACGGCGGAT